CAATCAATCATTCATTCAATCCTGTGGAACTTACAAAGGTTTAGGTCAAGTCAATTTGGAAAAATTTACTACAAATAAAAAACCGTCCTAAAATTAAACGAACTGAACGTCAAAGTTCTGCCTCACCTACCATACTCACCAGACCTCTCGCCAACCGAATAACATCTTCGGTAACTTTTGCCAATCAGGACCAGCCAAAAACGGCTTTCGAGCATCTAATTTTTATGATGACGGAATCAATCGACTAATCGACATGTGTTACATTGGCAAAAGTGCACTGATTCAAACTGATTTAAAGTAGACTCGTAAAAACGGACGAAACTTTTGACACATTTAGGCAATGTAGTTGAATACATTGCCTAAATGTGTTAATACATCTCATTAACTTTTGTCGATTTTATAGAAAATTTAAAGAATTATGGTCGGAAATTTATATTGTCTTGGTTTCACAATTTACGAGAGAAATTGAATATAAATTTGCTTTCCACAAAGCTTATATCATAAAGACCAAAGTTCATTTCCTACTGTTCGTCGCGTTCGCAAATAAGGTTACTAAATTTCTCACTTTGAACTGGGTTTATAAAAGAGAGGTTTGCAGGCCTTTTTCGTAATAAGATGATATTATTTCAGATAAAATATGGCATCATTCTGGTAAGTCATATCGCATTAAGACCTTTTATATATCCGCCGACAAGAGATGCGAATATCATAATAACGCCTACGTTTATTTAGTTTTGAAAATTCCAATTTCAGTTAACCGCACCTGGTGAATTTCACCGAATATTTTGTTTGGTGACAAAAATATTCCATTGAAGGTGTTGTTCTTTTAGTTTGATTTCTGAATTATTACCTCGAATTTATTCACAGGAAACCTATTCAAAAAACACACGTGTTTCGCTATTCAATTGAATCTTCAGGCGTTACAATACTGTTTATACAAATTCTGTGTCCTGCTTTTATGGTAATTTGAATCAGTATGATTATTACTACCTGCCAAATTTCTACATGATAAATTCATTACCTAAACTATTAACCTATCTAGGAACAACTAATTAGACTAAAGTATGTTGGATATAATTTTTACCTGTGCTATCATTTCAACTACTTTTGTGATCATTTCTAATAACCAATTTCCTCGTTGCAAACTGAAGTCAATAAAAAGGAACAATTAAAATCTAGGTTAGGTTAGGTTAGGTTAGGTTAGGTTAGGTTAGGTTATGTTATGTAAGGTTAGGTTATGTTAGGTTAGATTTGATTAGGCTAGGTTAGGTTTGGGATTACGTTGAGACTAGAGAGTGGGGAGAAGGAGGGTAGGTTGGACGAAGTTGGATTAGTGAAGGTT